GGAAGGCCCTGGGTTTAATCCTTAGTACTACAAAACAATTAAAAAATAAAAAATAAATAGCACTACAAATAACAAAAGTCAGCAAAAAAGAGGAGCTACACATAATTTTTAAAATATTCAGTTCCCAACCAGAGTGATATTGGTACACAAATAACCTAAAAAGAGATCAAATCTTTGAGAATGCCTTTTTTTTTTTTGTAGTGCTGAGGACTGAACCCAGGGCTTTACACTAGTGAGCTGTATCACCAGCCCAAATTATGCCTTTGAAACTTTTGGATAATATAGGATATTATCTAGAAATGATCTTTAAAAATAATCCTTGGTAGGGCCAGGCATGGCAGTGCACCCCTGTAATCCCAGCACGCAAGATGCTGAGGCAGGAGGATCACCATGAGTTCGAGGCCAGCCTGGGCCTCACAGCAATATCCTGTATCAAAAAAAAACACCTTGATAATATAATTTTATTTCCAGAAGCTTACCCTTTTCCCACTTCTCCTTTAACACAAATTCCCACATCACTCTCCCTTCAGTTTTCTTCTCACAAGGCCTCCCTCCCTATTGCTTAGCAAGTCCAATTAGAATTCCAGAAAAAGCTAAGAAACTTGGATAGGTATTTCCTGTGGCCAGGCATGATGGTTCACGCCTATAATCCCAGCACTTGGGAGGCGGAGGCAGGAGGATTGCTGTGAGTTCAGGGTCAGGGTGAGCTACATAGCAAGACCCTGTCTCAAACAACAACAAAACAAAAAACAAAAAATACTTCCTGTGGTATCAATCACATCTCCTAAGCAGAGTAAACGTTATGTTTCAACTAAAGCAGAAATGAGTCTTGTTATTCAGTGGACATGGGTGATGTCTGGGTTGGATGTACTAAAGAATAAGCACGTTTGCTGCTAAAATCCTGTTAATAAAAAATGAAACTCCAAAAATTGAAGTACAATTAGCAAAAAGAATGTAATTATGAGCTGATTAGTTTATGCAGTTTCTTACCCTTGTTAAAGTACTTAATGAAACCTCTAAAAGCTGGCTAGAATATGATATTGTTTAATGAGTTGATAACAACGGAGCAGGAAAGCGCTCGTTTTCCACAGTATCCTGGGACTTCATTTAGTGTGGGGGCTGTACACCATTGCAATAACAAAGACCTAGGCTTTTTCTTATACTATATCACACATTATTATGAAGAAGTTTCAAAAGTGAAAAGGATCCCCAAAAGATGAGTACAGTCTAACCCAGGCAGGCCTGTAATCCAAGCACTCTGAAAGGCTGAGGCAGGAAGATCACAAATTTGAGCCCAGCCTGGACAATTTAGTGAGACCATGTCTCAAATTAAAAATATTTAAAAAAGGGTGAGGATGAGCTCAGTGTAATGGTCCTGGGTTCATTCTTCACAACTGCAGGGGGGGAAATGCAGTCTTAAAAGACATTTTTGTTGTTGTTGTTTTGCTTTTTTTTTTTTGGTCTTTTTGAGACAAGGTCTTGATATGCAGCTCAGGCTGGCCTTGAGCTTACTTTGTAGCCCAGGCTGGTCTCGAACTCAGAACGATCCTCCGATCCTCCTATCCTCCTGCCTCAGTCTGCCGAGTGCTGGGATTACAGGCGTGCGTCACCACGCCCGGCTGTTTGCTTTTTGTTTTTTGAGAAGGTCTTGCTCTGTAGTTCAGGCTGGCCTTGAACTCACTATACAGCCCTAGCTGGCCTCTAGCTCAATGCATCCTCCTACCTAGCCTCCCAAGCACTGGGATTACAGGTGTGTACCACTACGCCCAGCTCAGTCTAAAATCTTTGTTTTTTTAAACTGTGGAGTAATTTCTTCAAAAGAAACACACAGAAAATATATAAAGCAGATAAAAGTAGGTCTAATCTAGTAATTTAAGAGGAACATGAACCTTGCCTACTTCAGAAAAATTTATCTTTCCTAAGAAGCCCTTAAAGCAGCTTTACAAAACCCCAGAGGAGTTACAAACTATAGATCTAATCCAGTCCTTTCTTATACTACAGATAAGGAAACCAAGAACTCAATGGTTAAGTGTCTCGTCCTAAGCAATGGAGCTATCAGAGATGTTTAACAGTAACTGCAAAACCAGGAGTGATGGCACATTCCTGTGACCCCAGCACTCTTGAGAGGCTGTGGTAGGAGGATGGCAAGTTCAGGCTCAGCTTGAATAACTTAATGAAAGACTCTCAAAATTAAAAACTAAAACTAAAGGCAGGGGATGTAGCTCACTGTAAAAGCGCTATGTTCAAACCACAGGTCCAAAAAGAAGGAGTAATTGCAAAAAAGCCTGACAGGAAGGCACATGCCTGTAATCCCATCTACATGGGAGGCTGAGGCTGGAGGAGCACTATAGACAGTAGTTAATACCAGGAATGATAGAGCCGGTCGTGGTGGTGCACACCTGCTATCCCACCAGTTGGGAGGCTGAGGCAGGAGGATCCTTGCGAGTTTGAAGCCAGCCTGGGCTACAAAGTGAGCTGAAGGTCAGCCTGAACTGCATAGTGAGACCCTGTCTCAAAAAGACAAAAAAACAAAAAAAAAAAAGAAAAAAGAAAAAAGAAAAACACCAACCAGGAATGGTGGGTGATTTTTTAAAAAGAAATGAATTCAGGCTGGGGATATACTTCAGCAGTAAAGCACTTGCATGTGTGAGGCTCTGGGTCAATTTTGGAAAGTCTATGTCAACAAAACAGTTCTTGATCAGCAACTATTTTCCTACACTGTCCTACTGTAGCCTACTTCTTAATCATATTCAGATACCTATATTCAAAGATGTCCACTACTCTTCCCAAATCAATGGCAAATGACTTCAGACCTCTGTACTACACCTAATCAGTCATACCTCTTGTTGTGTACCAATTCAAAGTATCAGAAATTACTAGCTCCTCTGATCTGCTTTTCACCTCATGCTCTTGTGTAAAAATGGACTTGGTTAGAATTCAATTGAGCTAGCATAAGAATATTTCCAACCAAAAGAGAATAGGAAAGTATCAGTGAGGAGTTAAGCATCAAATACACGTCATTCCATCTAACAAAAATTATTTCTTACCTGGGAATTTGGCTGGAATGCAGCATGGGGTGTTGAGTGTTTCTGTAAATTTTCTAGCATTAGAGCCTGGTATAGAGAAGGGTAAAGGTCAGAAACGTGGAGAAAAAGAAGAAATCAAACCTCCATACCTCCCATCACCTCTTCATTAAACTCAGTGGCTTAAATTGTACTTCTCTTACAGAGCCCTAAAGCCCTTTACTGTTCGCACTCATCTTCCAGACTTAAAGGTAGCCATGGTTACCTCTCTGAAACATACACACGAAAATACAGGCATATCGAGAATCAGTGACCTGGCTATGTCATAAAATAAGATGTGGCAGAACCAGTACCACACTCTCTACTATCTTCTACACTTTTAACTAGAACTCTTTTACCTCTGACCACGCAGATAAAATCGCTTCTAATACTCAGACTTCAAATACATGAAACTATGAGACCAATGCGGGGCTCCTGAATGAATTACCTGTTCATGTACCCAGAAACAGAACTACTTAAGTGAACTTGTAAAATTCACAATGACACAGATTTGTTAAAGTTATAAAAATTTCTAAGAAGAGCTACAGAAAACCACCCCAGACCCCGTCCAGGTTGGGCCGACCTAACCCACACCCACACCCACACCCAATCGTCCGTTTCGGTCTAAGCAACGGTCTGCCAACTTCAGCCAACCTGGCTCTAATCAGCAGGACCAGGATACCCTCGTTTGCCTGCCATTTTCACCAAAGCCACGCACACCAATCCACCTAGCTCATGACAAGCCCGACCCCACCTCTTAAACGGATTCAAAATCCCTAACGTACACCAACGAGCTTCAACTCTCGCCAACAGCCACTGAATTTTCATCCGTCCAAACTGCTTCTGGATTCCCTGCAGTCACCCCTACCTCACTGAGTCCCGTCAGAAAAGAGTCTCTTGGTCTCACCTCCTAACCTAATCTAGTAGACATTTTCACCCTACCTCAACAGATACGGACACCAACCGAAACCACCCTCCGCCCAACCGTGCCCCTAACTCGGACCCAGCCCAACTCGCCCCCCTCAGGCCAGCAACGCTAGTGGCTGTAGTGGGATTTAACTCCTTCTGCAGCGCATGCGCCGGAACCACAGACACAAACAAGGAGGGGGTGGGGGAAGGAGGAAGGAGCTTAAGACGCTCCGGGAGAGTAGCGCGCACCCTCCCATTTTGGGCTTGCGCTGCTGCCGTTAAGGCGGGAACCGGCGCGATCTCTACTCCGGCGCGAGCCTCACCAACCACCGTCCGCGCGGAACCTCAGGCTCGCGCTGGCGGCCTGAGAGAGCTCGCGCCGAGCCCGGACACTGCGCCTGCGCCGCGGTGGAGACTCGTCTCTACCGGGTCCGCTCCCCTCCGATAACCCGGCAACGCCGACTCCTCACCCCTTTGAGCCGCTTGACCAGGGTACTCTTCTGCCCGCTCTTGGCTAGGCCTCGCTGCTCCAGTGCGGCCTTCAGGTCGGTCACCCGTAGCGCCTGAAGAGGCTTCCCGTCCAGAGTCACCTCCTCCAGCTCCGCCATCTTGCGTGAGGTACTCGGGTCCGTCCCGACGGCTTCGGGCATCTTCGGTAATTTCCGCCAACGCCCTTCGAACGTACTGAGGTGACCCCGCCCACTGCTATAGTGTACCCGTCGATTACCACTCAGAACTCCCGGGTTCCTCCGGAATTGTTCGGGTGTTTCCGTCTCCACATCGGCACCAATCCGTTGTTTCCACCCGCCCTGACGTTGCCCCGTCTTCACCCTGTTTTCAGACTCGGTTATCTTCGTCTTGCCGAGGCTTTGAATCGAACCTCTTCGGTAGGCCTCGCCTCCGGTATAACTGTAATCGGAGCTATTCGGCTATTTCCGGACGCAGCGCTGGGGCGCTGGGGCGCTGGGGTGTTTGGGACTGGTCCGCGACCGGAAGTGCGTGGGCTGCCGGCTGGCTCTGTTTAGGGTTTTTAGGAAATATGGAAGTGGCGGCAATAGTTGGAGTCGAAGCGCTCGTGTGAGGTTCTCCAAGCCCTCTCAGAGAGGAAAAGGGAGGTAAGAGGGGAGCAAATACTTTCCTGGGTCGGGTCGTGTTTGCGGGCTACCTCTGTAGGGCAAGCTTCCTGCTGTCTTGTGGGAACAGCTGCGGTCTCCTATCTTGGGAATAAAGGAATACGTGTTCTATGGGGGCGTGGGAATAAGAGCCCTGTGGCCCCCGAAGTGGACAAGAGGATCCTTGATCTTGCTGTGGGAGCCACGTGGCAAAGTCGTGGAAAACGTTCTCCGAATAAAAGAAGAAAGTTTCTTTAGGAGCAAGGAACAGTCTCCCGTAGAACCATTCTGGAAAGGCAGCCACGCTCAACTGTTTCGGTCCTTAAACTGATCCTGTTCAAGGGTTCCTTTCCTTGTCACCACAAGCGTTCCAACTTGCAGCAGATAATATGCCGTAAGACAAGTATTTTAGTATTTGCACTGTTAGACATTCAAACTGTGGGGCTGAAAACTCAAGTCAGAGTGGCTGGCCTTTTAGTTGCCTTCATTATGCAGAGTCAATGGGAGAACAGGAATAGGAATTATATAAAACATTAAGGAAAGTTACTCAGACACAAAAGGTCACACATCACTATGTAACACTTGTTAGACCTTTGTGTCAGAAGACCAACTGGACATTTTTCCCAGCTTTGACAATCTGGCTTCTCATTTCTTTGTTAGCATGTTTCGGGCAAGACCCTCACCCTGCACTTTACTGTTTCTTTGTTTTACAGGAAATGTTAAGGGGGTCTGAGAGTCCCCATGTAGATTGCAAAGAAGGCTGTTTCATCATATATGATGTTGTTTCTTTTTACAGTACTGAGGATCGAACCCAGGGCCTTTGCACTGAGCTACATCCCCAGCTCTTTTTAATTTTTTTTTGTTGTTTGTTTGTTTTCAGAAAGGGTCTTGCTGAGTTGCCCAAGCTGGGCTTGAACGTGTGATCTTTCTACTTTAGCTTTCCAGAGTGCTGGATTAGAGGCATGTGGCACCATGCCGGGTTATATTTTCTTCTCTTCCCTCCTTGCCTCCATTTTTTCACAGTTGATAGCTTTGGGACAATTTTTCTAAAAATGCACTTTTTCATTTTAGAGAAGATAGTGTAAATCAACATTAATTACTTGCCTGCCTGGCAAGTGCAAGGCTCTGAATTTGATTCCCAGTACCAAAAAAAAAAAAAAAAAAGAATGAATCAACATTAATTACTGTTTTTTCTTCTCTACTCAAGTTGGAATACAGAGGTAGGAGGGAGAGAAAAAGCAAGAAATATGTTAAGCACTGCCCCTCTGTGTTGCCCAGGCTGGTTTGATTGGTTATTTTTAGGTTCCTTATAAAAAAGGTGCAAAGAGGCTGTGGTTGGGGAAGATAATGGGTTTGAAAAAAGAAAAGGGACTGACAAATACGAAGTTTGTCTTGGGTGACTTGTCTTTGAGATAATTGGATACTTGGGAGGATGAGGCAGGAGAATCGGTGCAAGTACGAGACCTGCCTGGGCTACAAAGTGAGCTCAAGGCCAGTCTGAACTGCAGAGTGAGACCCTGTCTCAAAAAGACGACCAAAAAAAAAAAAAGAAAAAAAAAAATTGGATGATGGAAATAAAGGATTTTCTTGCATTTATATAAGCAAGTTGGTGACAAGTCATCTCTGTATTTGTCTACTGGGTGCGGCACGATTTGTAAGATATGTTTCAGTTGCTGTCTGGAGAGAGTGTAACAGTGCCTTTATGTTTCAGGATGCCACTGGAATCACCTTGCTCTTCAGCGCCACTGTCCTTCCCTTCTCTGCTACCCTCAGTACCGGACGCTATTACCAGTTCTTCCCCTCCTCCAATGTCTTACATCACTTCCCAGGAGATGAAATGTATTCTTCATTGGTTTGCCAGTTGGTCAGGTCCTCAGCGTGAACGTTTTCTACAAGACTTGGTAGCTAAGGCAGTGCCAGGAAAATTACAGCCACTGCTGGATAGTCTGGAGCAGCTTAGTGTGTCTGGAACAAACCGACCACCTTGTATCTTTGAGTGCCAGCTACGTCTTTGGGATCAGTGGTTTCGAGGATGGGCTGAGCAGGAGCGTAATGAATTTGTTAGACAGCTGGAGGTCAGTGACCCAGACTTCGTGGCAAAATTTTACCAGGCAGTGGCTGCTACAGCTGGTAAAGACTGATAGGTGGCTGGGATTTAGGTCAGCGACACAGTGCCTTCCTGGCAAGCTTGAAGTCATGAGTTCGATTCCCAGCACCAAAAAGCAACAACAACAAAAAGACTGATTGGTATTCAGGTTAAAGACTAAAACCACAGCTGATGGAGCCAAGGCCATGACTCTGTAGTGAGAACTCCATTCATATGTGTCAGATATTTGGGTGTGATATCCCAGTGAGTTGACTGAACTTGCTGATGAACACAGACATACTTATTTCAACTTTATCAGTATGTCAGATGGACTCAGTATAAATGTGTCCCTCCCAGGCTGGCCTCGAACTTGCAACAATCCTCCTGCCTCAGCTCCCCAAGTGCTGGGATTACAGGCGTGCACCATTACACCCGGCCTTTAAATGTGTCCATCGAAGTAAATCCAGTTCATACCAGTCTCCTAGTTTGGTTTCCAAGAGCTGTCAAAACCTCAAAAATTTAATGACTCCTTTGGAACTATAACTAAAAAGAAACTACATGTAATAAGTCAAGCCTACTGCTGGCCTATGAGGGGTAAAATAGAACTGTCCTCCAGAAACAGGAAAAAATAATAAAAGGCATTTTTATTGTTTAGTTAAATTCTGGCTTAACCATTCTGAGCCATAGTCTAGCATGATTATGTGATAATCTCAAACCAGTGATGATTTAGTAAAATTACAGAAAATCGGAGAGGGAGATAGTTATTTCCTTCTTCATACTGTTTGTTTGCGTCCAAAGAGTAATGAAAAATAAAAATAGCAAACCACAGTATCCTGGTTTTTTTGCTATACTAGGTATTGAACTCAGGGCCTTGCACATTGTAGGCAAGCACAGCGCTTTTGTACTGTTTGTGTTGGAAAACAGTACAAAAATAAGTGACACTTCAAAAAGTTTATTTTTTGTACTAAAATAACAAATACATCTTCATAACCAAAATATATGGTCACATACTCTTATAATAATCATAATGTATTTTAGTCATAAGATCAAAACCACCTTCTTTCATTGCAAGGCTAGTACAGAGTTGATACTTGGGAAGGAAGCGTTCTGAAGAAAGCAGAACTTAGGTATACACATTAGATTTTCCATTCAGTTGTTGCAAGAAATAATCCTACCCCATGTCATGTTTTAGGTAACATCAAGCTTCCCTTATTCTTCCAGTTGGGCCCCTTGTGCCGTGTATCTGGTGATGGTGAGGAGTAGATGGTCCCACTCGAAGAGTAGTTTGTTTTTGATAGGCCACAATACCTAGTGTACCCACTAGAATTAGCAGCAGTAGGCAGAGTCCCATGGACAGAAATAGGTGGGTCATGGAGGGATTACGGTTCGAGGTAACCGGCAACCTAGGAGCATAGAAGGCAGTATTGGGCCTGGAGTAATACCTAGGCTGAGGAGGTGAAGGGACATTCGTATAGCTCTATACTGTATATCATGAAACCCTGTTTCGTCAAAACATTAAACCTCAAATCAGAGGAATATAGGACCTGAAAGTAGGAATAAGACCAAGATTCAAGTCCTCCAGCAATTTAAACTGTTGAAAGGACTTGCTATTTTGGTAATGAAATTGGCTCAGGTGGTGCCGTGGTGCTGGGGTAGCTAGACATGATCTCCGAGTACTACTTAAAGGGAAGAGCACTGGGGTCCTTAAGTCCTAAAGAGATGGATGAACTGTAGTACTGTGTTTGAGAAGGATATCACATAGGCCCAAGGTGATCATATTAGGGATATTTTCTGAAATACATGACCCTGTATAGAACAGTATATACATGAATGTGTGCTTAATAGGTGCAAATTTAAATACCTGGACTGTGGGGATTTCAAAAGAAAATCGCTCAGGATATCATCTTACTTGCTGTACTCTGTGGTGAAGCTGGCTTCTCCATGATACGCTTCTAGAGGTTTCTCGTGGAGAGTCAGGGCCAGGGCCTGGTACAGCATGGCAACTGAAGGTCCTTGGCAGCCTGGGGCCTTCCACATATGCACAGTGAATACCAAATCAGTGGTAATAGATGGGCTGTGGAAATAGCACCTAAATAGACATTTGAATCTTAATGGAAGGATAGTCCCGGAAGAGTGTATTTCATGGAGCAAGTGCAGGCTAAGGAGTGGGGACAGATGGCCCATTTTATAATACTCAGCCTGAACTATCCTTTTACCTGCCAGCGCCACTTCTGTTCACCAGAGCCTGCAGGACTGCTTCAGCCAGCTCTTCTCTCTGTCCCTTGCCCAGTGAGTAGCCTGGAGACCCAGCTAATTCTAAAGGAAGCTGGAAAAGCAGGTCTTGGGTTGAAAGACTCAGAGGTGCAGAAGTAACTGCATTGGTGCCTTCATTAGTCCGACACAGCCGACCTTGGGGACAGAAGAGGAGACCAGAATACCCGGGTATCTGCAAGGAAATGTGTACGTAGCAGAGTTTAGCTGCAGCCCCAATTACCAGCTCATTTTCCTTTGAGGAAAATATATATTGTAAATCAAAGTTTCGAGCCCAGTGGGTACTTAGTGAAAAAGGAACATTAAAACAGATTGGATAGTAGTGCAAGCATTTCCCAATTTCCTTTTGCCAGTGCAGCACAGCTGTTACTCTTATTACACCCACCTTAATATGCTTTCCTGGAAGGCATGGGACCCAGGGTGATCCCGCCACCCGCACTACATATGCTTCTCTCTGTGTGCACTGGTGTAAGTAGCAACGGCCAGTGAGCTCCGCTTCCTTGAGATGTGTGATCCGAGAAGAATGGCTGGTTTTGTCCCCAGGGAGTGGTTGTGCACTAAGGTTGGCAAGGAAGCAACGACTCTGGGAATGGTAGATTTCTCCGTGGGGATTCTCCACCCCAGCTGGGAGTCCATTTTCCTTCTTCCAGCATTCACTCTGAAGGGCAGGGCAGAGGAACAGTGTTTGTCTTGATGCCTTATTAGAGTTGACTCCCAGGCCCACTGGGTTCTATGCTCTGCTCACTGATGTACTCACCCCATTGGCTAAGGGTTTGTACATGCGGCAGCCTTCCAGCATGGGGTCTGAGGAGCAATTTCCCTTGTCCAGGTGCAGGTAATGGCATCCCAGCCCACTGTGGAAGGGACGGTAGAGTGACACTAGGATCACTGATAGCTGTGCAGTTCCCCAGCCTCTCAGCACACACCTGCCAGTACAGAAGAAGTCTGAGGAGTCATTCCCACATGTAGTCACCAGGCCAAATTCTATGCCAGCTCCTGCTTGAGAGGAAAAGAAAGAGCCCTCAAAAAAAAAATAAATAAATAAAAAATAAAAAAAGCCCCAGCTGGGTGTTCTGGCCCATGCCTGTAATCCCAGGACTGTGGGAGACTAATGCAGGAGGATTACTAATTCAAGCTCAGCCCGGTCAGTTTAGGGACTTGGAGAGATCCTGACTTAAAAGAGAAGCCAGTGTGGTGGTGCATGCCTGTAATCCCAGAACTCAGGTGGCTGAGGCAGGAGGGTTGCCATGAGTTTGAGGTCAGCCTGAGCTACATAGTGAGTTCAAGCCCAGTCTGAACTACATAGCAAAACCCTGTGTCAAAAAAACAAAAAAGAAAAGTCTGGGGATGTAACAGTGTGAAGGCCTTAGGTTCAAAATTCCCTAGTACTGCCCCAAAGAAAAAAGAAAGCCCGAAGCCAAAAGTTGTGGTGCACACCTATAATCCCAGAATTTGGGCGTCTGAGGCAGGAGGATCACAAATACGAAATTTGGGGCGATCCTGGGCTAAAGAGCAAGTTCAGCCTGGCCTAGAGTACATAGACTGTGCGGAAAATAAAACAAAGTAGCCAGACAGGCTGATGGCTCAGGCCTGTAATACCAGCACTGCACTCTAGGAGGCTGACTGAGGCCGGAGGACCCCAAGTTTGAGCCCGGGCATATAGGTTATACTGTAGCTTGGATTTCACCCGAGTACAGACACAGTCATCCTTTCCAACCTACTGTATCGAATCTGCCCCCAGAGCTGACTTGGCTCGTGAGGCTGCTCTGCAGATCTCCCTTATTTCTCACCTTGGCCCCACAACAGCTCTTCTGAAGCACTGTGGTTGACCTGATACCACCCCGTATCTTTGAAGGCAGCAAGAGTGATGGGGTCAAGTCGAGTTCGCTGGACACCATCGAAAGTCGCTGCCATTATTGAGCCCTGCAGCAGTCTGGCTTCCCAGTGTGAGGACAGAGGGCCCTGCTGGGGTAGGCAGCAAATAGCTGTTTGCTCTCTGGCTACTCCCTTTTCCTTCCATCACCCGAAGGTGTTATCATTCTCACCTCTCCTTCCAAAGGAACACCCAGAGAAACCCCTATTGCCCCCAAGTGCTTGGCCAGGCTGTGGCTAACATCTGGGGTGGTGAGAAGCAGCTGTCCCCACTGATCTCGCCTTGTCACCTGTTGCCTTGTAGAACAGTTCTCTCTAACTGAGAAGATAAAGAGAAGGGCCGGCAGTGTGAGGAGAGGAAACCTAGGAAGGGTGAAGCTGAACTGGAGAGAGGGAGGTTGAGCTGTTGAACTCCCCGCCCCCCCGCCTCCCCCTCACCGCTGAGTCCTGAGGGGCAATCCTGCCACTTGTTGAAGAGCTGTCCAGAGAAACCCAGGGCATGGAACAGTTCATGTAGTGTGACCTAAGGACAAACGACTGCCGAGTGAGGAGGGCTGGATTTGCAGGAGGGTGGGCTGACTGTCTCCTCTACCCGTTCAGCATCTCTCAGAGCTTGAGAGGCTTTCTCTTCCACTTCCTGGAAGCAGAGCGGCCCCGCCCCCACCTGCTTGCTCCGCCCTGTTCATCTGCAGCAGTCACCATGACGACGTCATCCTGGCTGAGGCTGGGGCTGGTGAGATGTTGAGCACAGTAGACAATGGCACCGGCAAGAGGCCTGTCTTCGGAGTCCAGCTGGCAGCAGGCGGCATAGGCTATGACGGAGGGCTGCAGGCAGAGGGCCAGGGATGGGATGCGAGGGGGGGATGTGAGGTAACTTATGCAGAGGACCCTCCCTGAAAATAGAAGACCCGAGAATCTGCAGGGCGGTACTAAGACGTGGCGTAACCTTACCTGAGCTTTGTAAGCGTACTTGAAGTTACCCCAAAGAAGCACAGCTTAATTAAAACAGCTTCTCTCTTCCTACCTCATTTAACAAGATTAAAGAAGTAGAGAAGGCAAAAGGGATTTGGTTTGAACTTCACCTCTTGGTGGCACTTGGAGGTGTGGGCAACCCGCACATAGAGGAGGAAATCAGCGTTTTGGACCCCAGGACCATCTGGTTGAACCAGCTGTGGGGGACCCTGCTCTGGCCACAAGGCATATCCACGGAGATGGGCATCAGGCACCTGGAAGAGTGACGTATATCTAGCTTAGCAGGGGACAGGGACAGAGGGTGCTAGGAAGAAGGGTGAGTGTCCTTGGTCTGTCAGTGTCATCCAAGCAGAGCTGGCTGCGGTGCTCTGCCCCCACCCACCCCAGTCTGTTTTAATGTATTTTGGGAGGTTGGCGAGAAACTAAGGAATCCACGTTGTTGTGAGCGCGTGTTGAGTCATCTGATTCCGGAGGTCTTAGGGGAGGTGAAAGCAGGCCAGGTACCTTCAGATTCCTAAGACTGGGCAGTTGCTCTCACCTTTGCCCCCAGGCAGCTCTCTCCTTTGTAACCTGGGTTCAGGAGGCTACACCTGCCCAAAATGAGTATGTGTCGGTGAGCTGGGGACATTTCTGGTATCCCCAAAGAAGGATGTGAACTCACCTGTGGTAGTTTGGGGTCTCAGGGTCTCCCCAGACAGCATGGCAGTACTGCGCAGGGTCTCGACTCAGAAGCAGGGGTCCTTGTACTGGAGGAACTTGACAAGACGGCAATTTCGCTCTGACACCTCTGAGTTCACTCTGTTTTATGCTGTTCTTCCTCTCCGAGACCTCTCTGGCCTGCAGCCCTCTCTGCTGCGTCCCGTTCCCCCACTCACCTGCCAGCACACCCTGAATTCGCTGGGCAGCCTCTCTCACTGCAGCCAGAGCTCGGGACCCCCCTCTTAGTCCATCTCCCAGGGGATCCCAAGCACCAGCGGATGTCGGACTTCCTGCGTAGTAGGCTTGGATTCGGAGGGGTTGAGGATCCCGGGAAGCGGGGAGAGGGAGGGAGGAGCGGAAGTCTGGGTGCAGTTGGGAGAAAGGGGGCCGGAGGAGGCTCACAGACTTCTGAGTCTCATCATGGAGACATCTGCTTGTGGCCACCCCAAGGAGGAACAGCAGCAGCATCTCTTCTCCTGTCCCAAACCTGTCTTCTGCCCTCTTCTTCCTCGGCTCCTTTATTTCTGTCTTTCCTCACTTTCTTCTCTCTTCACACAGCCCCGGAACTCTTGCTTGTTTTTCTAACATTTGAGTGCTGTTGACTAAATCTACAATTCCCTGCCAGGAAGTCGGATATGAACCACAAGGCCAGAGCCATCTTCTTCTGGGGGTGCCAGAGGTGGAGCACTCGGAAGGGAATGTTATCCTGAGGTCTCCACTGACCTTTGCACCCCCTCCCACTGCCACCAGAGGTCAGAGCCAGGGCCTCATGCATGCTGGGCGAATGCTCTGCCACTGCTAGTTGCATCCCCAGCCCCTCCGCGGACTTTTCCAGAGAGAAGCCTGCCTTTTCCACAGTGGGACCTTCCCTAATCCTTCTCTATCCCTGCATGCTAATGCCCTGCCTTTCTGATGGAAAGCCTTAGAAGCACCCCAGAATTTAAAAATTGGTGTAAGCATAAGAGGTGAGGTATGGGCCATTCTTTAACTCACAGATACCTGCAAACAGGTGGGCAAACAGGCCTCTGCAGGTCACTAGCTCCCCCTGTTAGAGCTGGCTGGCCTCTAACCAAACTGCAAGGCTTTTAGCCGTCTTCTACATCTGTGTAGGGCCATCAGTAGGTACGCAACAGATGCATGCAAGGTAATTGACAGCTGCTATGGGAGCCTGCGGTATTCAGTCTGTGAGACTTCGCAGAACCTCCTTATAGGTGTGCAGGGGAGGGAAGAGAACTCTTTAATGGACACTCATAGATGTTCAGCTCTGTTTCTAGGGGCCAGATGTGTGATACACACCTGTAATCCCAGTACTTGGCAGGCCAAGGCTGGAGAATCACAAGATCAAGTCTAGCCTGAGCAATTTAGTGAAACTTTATCTCAAAATTTAAAAAAGAAAAATAAATAAAGGGGGCTGAGGATGGAGCTCAGTAGTATTGTACTCCTGGGTCTATTCCTAGTAAAACACACACACACGCATCGAGTCTTACTAAATTCTTGGCGCTGCCTTTTTCTTTACTCTGTGTTTTCACATCCTGTCTTTTCTGTTTCTGATGCTCCAGCTGCCCAGCATGGCTAATTCCTGTCTTTCCTCTCATTACTCCAGGAAGCCTGTCTTAGCACCTCCAACCCAAATTCCACACCTGCCAGGGGCTGAGGGACCCTTATAGGAAGGGGCCTCTCCCCACAGAACCATGCCATCCTCTGTTCTAAGTGCTGGTTTAGGGGCACTCCTTCCACACCCTAAACTCCCTGAAAGGAGCCGGCTTCCTTGTGCAGTCCAGAGGGCCTAGACTTCACTGTGTGGGCAAAGGTGCAATTTAACTCTGTTATTTAACTTTTTTTTTTGTCTATTTGAGACAGAGTCTCACTATGCAGTTCAGGCTGGCCTTGAGCTCACTTTGTAGAACAGGATGGCCTCCAACTCAAAATGATCCTCCTGCCTCAGCCTCCCGAGTGTTGGATTACAGGTGTGGGCCACCACGCCCAGCTCCGTTATTTAACTTTTGAAGATGCAAATCAGGGGTAAAATGACATGATGTAAACCAGCATGGCTAATTAGTGATAGAATTAGAATTTAAAGGACTCCTGACTTCTCGGAGAGGCTAGATTTTATACTTTTCCATGTCAAAACAGTGGCTAGACTACTGACTACAAGGAAGACACCCAAACTCCGGAGTCAAAGCCACTCTGCCACTTGCTATGTGTAAAATTTTAGCTAACTGCCTCAGTTTTTTCATCTGTGATATGGGAATGATTGTATTTATAGGGTTTTGAGGAAAAGGTAATGAATAGTCATAAAACACTGAACAATATCTAGGTCATAATAAAAACTAAGTCAAGTAAAGACTACTTACTAGACATTCACTTTCAACTCAGAGGGAAAAAATTTTAAAATCAGTTTATGTACAAATCTTTAGGGGTTTAATCCCCAGTACCATAGAAACAAACATTTAGGGAATTCTTATTCTTTAAACAAAGTCTCCTCCAAGTGTCTGAAACATTTCTCCTTTCCAGACTCTGGAGTGGGGGGGTGTGCTGGTTAGGATTTGTGTGCTGGATTCAAGGTTGTCTGGCTCTCTGGGATTTTATTTTTTTGTACCCGCTATCAAACTCAGGACCTAATGCTTGCCAGGCAGGCGCTGTGCCTCTGAGCTACATCCACAGCCCTGGCTCTCTAGGTTTATGGCACCCAACCTGCAGCCACTTCTAATGCTTTGCTGCTCCCTTGCGGCCAGGCTGAGAGAAAGTGTGCCCTTGTGAGGGCTGGGGTTGATGGCAACTTCAGATGTGTGGGTGGAGCTTCACGCACTAGCAGGAAAAACACAAGAACACCTGTAAGCAGCCGCATGGAGCCCCACAGACCTAACACAACAGCCTCCCACAGGGGGTATCAGTCAACTAACGCGTACTTGTTAAGGGCCTGCCATCAGCCCTGCGCAGATGGAGGAGCCTGAGAGAAACACCTGTGTCTCTTCCCCGGAGCCCCTTGTTCCTGCCTTTGCATTGCAGATTCTTCCTCATATTTCAACATCCAGGTTATTTGACCTTCGAGGCTTCTCTTCTGCTCTCGTAGGCAGGACTGGTTTGCATATCCTTGACTTTTCAAGTAGGATTTCTGTCATATCTTTGATGTAACATTTATTATAGTATCCTGACTTTGTGTGTTTATTTCCCTATAGGATTGCTGGCAGGGGCCAGGTTTTTGTTGTTATTTTTGGTGTGTGTGTGTGAGGGGGTGGTCCTGGGGATTGAATCCAGGGGCATTCTACCAGTAAACTACATCCCCAGCCCTTGTTTTTAAAATTTTGAGACAGAGTCTTGCTAAATTGTCCAAACTGGGACTCAAACTTTTGATCCTTCTGCCTCAGCCTCCCAAGTACTGGGATTATAGGTGAGCCCTCTCACCGGGGCTGGGTCTTTCTTCTGCCTCTTTGAAGATGTGTGAAGTAGCTGCAGAGGGATAGCAGAGGTGGGATGAAGATAAAGAAAGATATCTGGTGTGGGGGCCCTCACCTGTAATTCCAGCAGTCTGGGAGGCTGAGACAGGAGGATTGCCAATTCGAGCCCAGCCTGGGAAATTTAACAAT